TATACATATATATATATATATTGCGTGTGTGTGTGTGCATTGGCATTTGTGTATGCCTGTGTGTAAGTATGTATGCATATCTGTATGTATGTGCATATATGTACACACATGTATACACACATGTGTATGTATATATACATACACATATATGTATATGCACATGTATAAATATACATATATATATATGTATGTATATGCCTTACGCAATTACTTACTTACTTACTTACTTACTTACTTACTTACTTACTTACTTACTTACTTACTTACTTACCTCTAACTTATCCATACTCATGCATGTATCCATGAGTGTCTACAGGTGTTTACATTTGCTGATACCTTTTAGAAATTGGATTTACAAAAACCTTCTTCAACTTCTGCGTGCTTGATTGCATAATGTGTTTATGTACTGGGTTAGTTACCTATGTGTGTGGCTTTGTTTATCTAGGTCTAGGTATATATGGGTAGAGCAACTTGTTCCCCCTCCAGGCAGCAAGAGCTACGGGCCGATGCATCATTTCGTGCGGCCGGATGTGGCGGCTATGACCTGTCCACTCAACAATGGCCAAGACTACAAGCCCAAGGGGTTTATGGCTTCTGTCGTACCCCTACGGCCCCTACGGTGCGCTTGTAGAACCTTCAAAGTACCCTGATGATACCCTTGCTCGGAAAGAAGTGTCCTAGTAGTATCTCCCAGAACCCCTCTTTAGAACTCCGCTAGCAGCTTCGGCAGGTTTGGCCCCTGCTGTGTCCTGTGAAGAGCAGAAGCAGCTGAGCCCGGAACACGGCAACGGCAGAAGGTACCTGTCAGAGTCATCCGAGCACATGCTTCTTGTACTTATGGTCGCACTGGGCCCATCTACTTGGACAGAGCTCCAGAACAGCTCGTCATGAGCTTTGTAGGCTGGAGCAGGACAAGGTTTCTGGGATCTCGTCATTGGGGGCTCTGTCGCCAAGGCAGGGAGGGATGTATAATGATGTATACTTCTCGGGACAGGCTGGAAGTCGAAGGGTCATGTATGGCAAGTTGGAGCCACAGAATCGCGCTGCAAAGCCTTGCTTGAAGCAGATAGGCCTTGTTGTTCTTCTTGACCTCCTGGGTTCGCGGAACAACCAATGCCTGGCGGTTACGACAATGCCAGCATGACAAAGAGCTAGAGCGGAGCAGCCACCTCTGTAGCTTCAAGCCCGCCTCCGTGGTTACTGCGGCCGCACATGCTGGCCGCAAAGTTTCGCCACGGTACCTGGCTGCTACGTCGTGGCATGTGCGAGAGACTACGAGATAGAAGCAAAACCTTGCAGACAGGTCACCGAATCACAACGTCCCCGCCGTCCACATCGACGGTGGCAGTCCCACCCCGATTCAAGGCCCCAGAAACCAGGAACTCTGCGACTGGATCCTCCAATGTCGTTGCTGGATCGCGCTTCAGCCGACAATAGCCGACAACTACTATCATGGTTTGAGTGCTTCTGCTGTGAGGCTGTGGTGTGGATTTGCAGCATGGCGTCATCAATGCAGAGAACAGGTCGCTCTGGGCTACTTATAGCTCCATGCCATGAACCGACAGGTCCTCGAAGACACGCTGCACTGCACGTCGCAAAGGCCGTGCCTCTGGTTGCACCCAGGCCCATAGCCAGAAGCTCCCTGAAATCTCGAGCAAACCTTCTCCGTAACTACGACTCATTTCTCTGTGCTCACCCCTACATGAGCATCTCACGCCGTAAACCGCATTGGAGCCGGAAGCCAGCACGATCTCCTCCACCTCGGCCTCATTCTGGTATTCTGGTCTGCCGGGCTTTTGTTTCAACCGTGAGGTTTCAGCTGCGCACCGTCCATGAGAGCTCTAGTGCTTCTGTGTCTGGTCGCCCGCTCTGCAAGGCGGCCTCTCCAAGCAGGACACCAAAGCGTCAGAACGTGCCACTACGAGGCTCACTCGACCCACCCCCGACCTCCTCGAAGGCCAAGGTTGCTCGCTTTTTGGCATTTCCCAGAACCAGTCGCACCTGTCACAAAAAAAATGTTGGAGCTATGGCTTGAAGCTTCCTGGATTCCGCTGCATGCTGGGGCACAATCTGCTTGAACTCCTTCTCTGACAGCGCTCGGAAGATGAGCAGCTCGTCGATGCGGTTCAAAAACTCCGGCCTTGCATGCATAGAAGTCGTCTGAACGTGGTAAATACAAGTAGAAACGCAGTGTGCGAGGGCAGAGGAGTGTCTTACTGGAAGACCGTCCGCCGGGTCAGGCCTGAACTTCTGCTGCAACTGCCGCTGGACGGCTGCACGTAGCTGGTCATAAGTGCCCACACCAGAAGCCTGACAGGCAGTCACCTTGACCTGACTTGTCAAGCTGTCGCAGAGATGCTACGGCATGCCAGGAACAGCGCAACCAGATTTTCGGACATTGCCGGAACATGAGCCCTTGCGATATGTTGCTTTAAGTCGAACAGGCCGGGGAAGCAGTGTCTGTACACGGCATGCACATCCCGGACCTGAATTATGGCATTTCCTCCATGGTCTACTTCCGAGACCATGACAATGATACTACGATGAGGCGAAGTGGCATCTTCGGACGAGATCCAGCTTCAAGGGTCATGTCGGCGTCTACCACAAGTTGGTGCACAGGCACGGTCCTTGCGAAAGTTCGGGAGCTGCTTCCACTTTGAGACGCCCAAAGAGCCGCGGAGACTCTTCATCCTTGGGCTCGGCCGTCGTCTCGGAGTCCTCCAGGGTCTCAGCCTTGATACCAGGATGCACCTCGGGGATAACCGGCAGCTCCGCTTCGAGCTCCATGTCCATCACCGGCTCTGCCTCAACTGCCGTGCGAATGGTCCCTGCCACCTCTGCGCACTCTTCGGCCGCGTCCTCCACCTTCGGCACCGCTTGCTCCAGGATCTCCAGGCTGGCCTGCGCCGGCGGCTCGGCCTGCGTCGCCTGCGCCTCGGCCTGGGGCGCCACCGTCTGCTCGGCCGGCGTCTGCAACTTCACGGCCTTCTCCTTCCCCTTGCTGGAGGGCTTGGCCACTGGCTTGGAGTCCGTGCAGCCCATGCTGAAGAGGGGTGAGAAGAGTGGCGATTCCTCGCAGCTACCAATCAAGCTACAGCCAATTGCGCAGCATGATCCTTCTTGATGAGCACGGATTCCACACCGTCAGAACAGGTTTGCTTGTTGACATGGTGAGATTACATAAGGAGAGCCCGCACTTTTTATTCACTCCTCGCGGCTAGCGACGACAGTCCTCACTGGCTGGACGGGGGCCATGCCTGTACAGAAATTGTTGCATGGTGGAAATCTGTACAACAGCTGCTTTCAAGATTCGTCAGCGCTGCGGGACGTTAATTCGAGGGCAGCGGCCTGGTGCCGCTCCTCATCAAAAGAGCTCCATCACAAAGTCTGCAGTGTCGTGGGCGGCTTCGGCGACCCACTCACCAGCATCTCCGGCAGCATCGGCCACATCGGCGGCGACATGCTCAACATCTTCCACTATTCCAGTCCAGCCGACGTCTGCTATGTGTTCTCCCAGCACAACACCTGCCACAGCTAGGCCGCCTACAGCAAGAACAGCTGCACCGCCAGCAGCCACCTTTGCTCCTGGACTCCACCTTGTTGCACCTGCCTTCTTTGGATCTGTGTCGCTTTTGGTGCTTTTGACAATGGGCGTCTCCGGTGTCTCTGTGCATGGAGGCATTGGAGGCATGGGAGGCACGGCAGGTGCTGAGGGTTTGAAGCTGTCAAAGGCCTTGGTAGGTGGAGTGACGACAGGTGGCAGAGGAACGAGCATAGGGTCACCTGCCCGCGCCGCTGCCGGGACCTGGACGGCAATGAACTGATCCGTCCGTGGGTCTGGAACGTAGATGCATTTGCCTGCCGTTCCTTCCGGGACGGTCACCCGCAGCTTTTGCGCTGGCCGTGTCCTACCTGGCTCCTCCCCTTTCCAGCCGGGAGGCGGGCGGATGGCACGCGTCTTTCTACTCTCCAAGTTGGTTTGCGTCATCCTTCGGAAGTCCACTTGGTAGCGCTGGCCACCAACTTTGCAAGGCACAACGTCCAAGCCGGCCATGTACGCGCGCTTCAAGATCGTATCTTGGCGTTGATCGAAGTCCCGCCAGGAGCCTGCGAGCTTCACTTGAAAGCAACCGGCCGTCATGTTGGGGCTGCGATAGCTCAAGGCCTGAGATGTGGAGACTGTGGAGACTAAAGCTTGAGCAGAGCAGGTACCCCACGTTTCTGGAGACTTCCAACTTCGAAGCCGACGACTCTTTTGCTGCAAGTAAGCATGGCCTGCTGCAGAATTTCTTGACTCCCCACGTTGGAGGTCATCACCTCTGGAACCAGCGCAGAAACTCATCGCCTAACATCCTGCTGCCATGACGTGCGGCACAGCTGAGCCCCTTGCGATGATGGAGTTGGAGAAACTCACGGTTCTGCCCTTGCACAAGCCACTGTAGGGTATGCTAGAACAAGAGAAGTAGGTCTCCGCCTTTCCGTCCGTCAAGCGTCCGTCCTCCAGCACTTGCAAGAGAAGGTTGAGCACCTGACAGATGGCGCACCGAGAAACAGCAGGCGAGGCTAGAATGGAGGAAGGAACCAGGGGGTGGGTGAGAGAGTGCGCGCAGTGCATTGCCTCAGAGTGAGCTTTCTCAATCTCATCCAAGACCACGACGCTGTATGGCCGTCGACTCGGGATTGAAACATATGTCACTTCAGAAGCTCCGTGGGTCGCCAAAGAGCCTTCCGGGCACCGCACCGCACAGCCTCGGTCAGCTGGCCACTGCGAGGGTCGTCGTAGCCGACCTCATTCATGAGTGGACGAAGCGAAGAACAATCGCTCCTCTTCAGCACTGGGTGCCTTGGACCTCGTTCTTCTCTTCTTTCGAGCCGTGTTTCTAGAGCCGATGCGACCCTTTCACCGAGCCACAACGACTGCGGTCGAGAGCATGCGAGCAGCAGAGGGGTCCTTTTCGCCATGTGGCCTCCCACAATCACCAATGGACCAAGCCCCTCGGAGGTTCACGGGGTAAGTCGAGGTCGAGTTGAGCCCATGGCAGACCCCGCAATGGCTGGAGGGTTTTCCACACCCCCCGCCTCCCCCAAATGCCCAGGTGATCAGCAAAGCTAACCCCCTTGACGAAAAGCTTCTGGGTGCTTTCGCGATGAGCCCGACACTCAATGCGACGCGCACTCGACTAGTGGCGTCGATGTGGTTGTCATCGAGCACTGCAGACAGTGCGCTGGGCTTCCTGGCGTAGCCGGGCGGAGCCCCAATAAGCCGCGAGACGCTGTGGGGCTCGGAGAACTCGCTCATGTCAAGGCGCACCATGGCCTTTCAGCCGAGAAAGTTTCCATCGCCTCTTCAACGAAGGGTTGCTGTCTCAAAGTCACCTTGAGGTCTGCGTAATACTCCTCTGCCAAGACCCGGCACAGCTCCGTCTTGCCAACGCCTTGTCAGGCATTACGAAGAGCACATTTCAGTTTGGGCTTGGAATGTCGTGACTACGACCTGTTGGGCCAGCGAAGAAGAACGAAGCTGTCGGGCGGCTGGATCCTCCACAGTTTCACTCAGTGGCACATCGACTCTAGAACCAGGCGCATGCTGTGGCGCTCCTGCCAGGCCACTCCGTGCTCGTCGCACTGCACGCGACAAGGCGCTGACAGCAGGCGACTGACCTCGGACGCAGAAAGCACCACATGGAAGCTGCCAATCCTTCGGAATTGGGGCTCAACCAATAATGCGCTGCTCCAGCGTCTCCTTCAGAGTCACAATGCGATGACGAGAAGAATGAGAACCTCTGCAGCTCCTCGAGGCGCATAAGTCGGTCCGACTCACCCTCGGAAAGCCGCTCCACAGGAATGCCTGACCTTGGATCAGGGCACTGAGAGTCGACTGAGAGGCTTTGTTGGCTACTGCTCGCCCAACAATCCTGCCCAGGGGCCCCGGCCACTTTGCAAGAACAGTTGCAACATCTTGTGCGGTCACTAGAGGCTTGGACCTCTGCACAAATGAAGTCGCGGAGCCCGGCTCTCAATTGAATTGGTCATGGTATCTAGGCGTTGGCAACCTGTTTTGATCCGCGCGTATTGAGAACACGTCGGACCACTCTGACTTCACAGTCACATGTAGACGAAGTCTTCTGCCTCTCTACTGCTGGCCCTTTCGTTTTCCAAGTCCAGGGACATCTCGAACTGCGGGTCCGTGGCGTTCGAAGGGGACGTCCAGGCGGAGATTGTGCGTCTCTCTAAGTCGAAGATACCTGTGATAGAAGTGAAGCATGGATCCTTGCTGGTGCGGTTTCGCCACACAGGCCAATCCGGGTCTGATCTGTCTGACAGGAATGATCGCAAGTCTTTCATGTTGTTCGGCTTAAGCTGATTCCAGCGCCCCTCGCGGTGAACCGAGGATGCTTCGGGAAATTGAGATACATTCAGCAGCTTGAACTGGTTCGCATGCACATATGGGCCTGTAATTTTTCGCATAGCATGGAGGCCGCCGGTAGTAACTTCAACATTCCAGAGTTCCTTCTCGCTAAGAAGTCCAACGTTGTAGTTCAAGGCTGTGGTGACGCGCTTGTTGGAAGCACGAGTGACCAAGTCTTGCAGGGACCTAGCTTCCGTCATGTGCCGAGAGACCCAGGCAGTCCCTACTCCTCTGGACCGAAAGCTGCGTGGGAACAAAGAGTTCACAGTCCACACCAAACCAAAAGAATTCCAGTTCAACTGTCCTCCGAAGAGAAGTCCCGGGTAGCACCAGGATCCCATACGGAACTTGGCCCGTCCGTCAGCATCTAGCGCTGTCGCAATCACGAAATATGAGGATTTCCGCCAGTTGATGGGCCAGTCGTCATTGTGCCCAAGCGCAGTCAGCTGAGCACTTACCACGTAGCCGTCCGTGCAGTGTCCTTCACGCTTTCGCGGCTCCACCCACTGCGCAAGCTCCTGGCAGGTGTACTGGGCGAGTCCGCAGGGCTACTGGGATATACTTGGATCTGACATTGGACCAAGTACGCAAATGCGCCTCCCGAAGTTGGTTCACAAGCAAGCGCTGCAGCGCAATGCCGGAGCCGTCTGCCATGCCCTCTACCTGACGACCCGGTTTAGAGCTCTCTCCGAGCCCTGCCACACAGCTGGCACCGATGGCCTAAACAGATTGCCAGCGACACCCACCCACAAATCCCTACATATGCCCTGTCGAACCTCTCGCATGTAGAGGGGGTAAGTGGCATTCGTCTCCGAAACGAGGCTCTCAAAAATCTCACGCCCTTCGCCAAGTACCTCAGCACGAAAACTTGCAAGGCTGCGCATTTGAAGCTTTACACGTCTGAGAAGCCGAGCAGTTAAGCGCCTGGACCTGACTTTAGATTGAGGGAGGCATTCCACACGAATGATCAATTCCAGGTTTGCCCCTTTTTTCTTGTCCTTTCGTGATTGAACACCACCTCACGTGCAGCATCAGGCCGAGGTGCCCAGGTTTCCATGGCATGAAGCTCCAAGTCTCCTGCCCAGACTGTCTGGATGTCAGGCCCCATGGCTTCTCCGATAGCCTTGCCAAATTGGAAGTGCCCGTCGCTCGTTCCATCCACATACTCCACGAATACAGTCCTCATAAAGCCCGTGTCCTGTGCAGATGCGACCGCGAAGAACCAGGCCAGACATGGCTTGAGCATGGCTGACTGCTGACTTGGCTTAGGTGGGCGCGCAAGGGAACGCACCCGCTTGCAGAACTGTACGCATACACGGGCAAGATGCCCCGGCGTTTGAACCCCCCTGTGCACAGGTGAAGAAGCGACGGCAAGAAGCGAAAGAGGTGCGTGTGCTCTGGGCACGAGAACTGCAATGCTGACTTATCTCTTTGACCCGAGACCGATCACGACTCGGTGCCAGACAGTTCACCCGGATCAACCTGGTTGTTCGCCTGCACCCAAATCAAAAACAAAGCAGCCTTGGCAATCCTCGACTGATGATGGAGAACCCTTCGGCAGCCTCCTCCAGTTCCATCTCTATCCGCCACTGGGCCTCAATGGACAACATGCCCCGCAATGCATGGGTAGAGCTCACCTCCAGGTCCGCGTCGGAGGTTGCTGAGGGCAGGACCAAGCTACTTGCCTCGTCAATCAGGTCAACTGCCTGGAACGTTCCGCGCTGAATCGGTTTTCCGAGTGCCCTTAGAGTAAAACTATTCTATAAGGCACGAGGAAAACTACCCTCTGCCTGAAGCATCCTGAAGCTACGGTACTGTCTCTTTCCCGGCTGACTGCCGTCTATCGACACAACTGGAGACTAGCTCTTCCGCTTACATTTGCATCTGGCCGTACTGTTGCGAGTTTGTTTGGCGTGTCTGCGGTAGTACAGCCGGCATTGCCACTGAAACATCGCGGGCACAAGGATTGCGGCTACGCCTTGTCTGGCAAGAAGCGGTCATTGACATAGCCTGAGCTGAGCCCACTCAACATAAATGATCGGGGATGGTATTCGTTTCTAGCAGCAGTAGTATTAGTAGTAGTAGTAGTACTACTACTACTACTACTACTACTACTACTACAACGAGTACTACTACTACTACTACT